CATTCTCCGCATTACTGAAGCGCAGAAAGTAACACTAGTTTGATCTGTATAAATATCATTATAACTATATTGTATAAATATTATTATATATAGGCTTACAACAACCTGACAATCAAAAAACAAATGACATGATATCACAGGCGCTTGTCTTCTGACGGTAGAATTTCTCATATAGCTTGTGAAGCATACAGTACTATTTGATCTATAAAATTTGTAAAATAAACATTTGCAGGTTAAAGAAACAGCATAGGAGGGGCCTTGGTGCAGATGAAAAGTTTAAAGAGTGTATTTGTATATAGGGCGACATGGGTAACTAGATAGAATAGACAGAGATAGGTTGATCTCTGCAGCAGCTGCCGAAGAGCTGCGCGCTGCAGACGCAGCTGGTGTGAAAGGCAAACGCCTGCGTGCTGCTTCTGCTCGACGTACGCGCTGCTCACGCACTGCTGACGCTTGCGATGTGAAACAGGCGTCACACACACATACAGGCATCTAAACGTGCACAAACAAACATTTTAAACTTGACAAAAACTCTCGAAACCTTTACTGTCTGATGTGTCTTTAATATGGTGTAAAGATTATTATGCGTTATTGAAACATAAAGGAGGACGCAGCAAAGAACATCACTATAAATTAAAACTACTTTATTATTTTATGCAGCAGTCTTACATTTAAAAGGGAAACAAAAGGGTGATCATACGCAATAAGACCCCAGACTAAAAGGCCAGATGTTTTCTTTTCCTTATTTCTTTATTTGTTTGGCGCCTCCTTGGCCCAAGGTATTCGGCAGGCCGAAAAAGGCCAGCCGCTGGCCCCAAGAAAGCCCCGCTTTGGCCCGATTAGGCCCCAGAAGTGACAGTGGAAACGCCACTGGCCTTGGCTCGCCCTGGCTCACTCGCTTTAGGCGTGATAGTGGAAACGCGGCTAGTGAACACGTGGGGGTGTTTGAAGCCATGAGACGCGGAGAACAGACGCTCTTGACACTCTGGAGGTCATTAATAATATACATTAATACTGAAAGGGTTAAGGTGTTTTAGAATGACCAAAACAACATTTCCGTGTGCTCAGCCTGCTGGATTGTCCATTTACACAATTTCATAATCATCTTTTATAACAAACCTTTTTTGATGCAAATACTGTAATTTGTTCAGTAAAAGGGTTTCCATTGTAGTTTAGGCGCATACATTCTATCAAATAAAAGTTTATCCTGCTCAGTTATGCACATTTTTTAATGAGCATTAAAATAGATGGGTGGAAAGGTAAGGCTAAGGCAAGGAATACCGCTTCATCTTTAAAAAAAAAGAGGAGACCAACAGAAACTCAGAGTTTAGAGAATAAAACCTGCTCCTGACCGGGTTAGATTCACAGAGTAAGTGTAAGGTCCAGCCAGTTGGCCCAATGCCGGTGTCCACTGGTGGATGAAGGTTCACTGCATGTTCGGTCTTTCCAGTGCACAATGTTGATTTATATTAAACTTAACTCATATCTGACTCCAATTTTAGTATGAGGTGGTTTAGAATATTAATATATTTATCCTCGTTTTATCTGACTCCAATCATAAAACATTAAGAAGATTATATCAATATGTAATTTAGATAAATGTTTGAACCGTTTGTCTTCACTAGTAACTATTACATCCGTTCATTCAGGTGCTCATGTCGCTCAGAGAAATCGCCTCGGCCGAAGGCGTCCCTCACGGTCACACTCCGGTCAGTCTTGAATATTAAACAGAGGTAAATTGACTAATACTTTAGATGGCCGCTACCAGCGCGCTCGTTCTAAAATACTTTAGTTAGTCCCGCTTAGATGTACACCTTTGAGTTAAGACAATCATCATTTCTAATTAGAGGTTAGGGCATTAACATAAATGTACCCGACTACTGGACTCTATAGTAACTTTGGTTTTCACCAAGCCCATGGTTTCCCATATGAACTTAATTTAGAATAATATTACCTTCAAACAAAGGTCGGGTACCCAATCTAGGTTAGTCGTGCAACACCTTGTTGACCTAGACGGAAGTTATCGCCCTTTCCACCTAAGTACACATGAATCAATATCAAGAGTCAGCCGGATCGCTAAAACACAATTAGTGTGCCAATGCTCCATCTCAATTGGATTTTAGTCCGTCTACTGACCTGACGCAAGACGTGCGGAAACAAGGATACAGCGTAATCTACTTGAATTAATAATTACAGAGTGAGCAAAATATGGTCAAACATTACAATTTATTAGTCAGGTAAATGTATTATGCCAATTCAATCAGTCAATTCATAAATGATCAATACAAAACATCAAATTATCAAAGATAAATCCAAGATGAAAAGATGCATACCTGACCTTTTACATAACGTGTAAATTTTACATAACATGGAGCCTAGGCTCCATGTTATGGGCTGATCTGGGTAGGCAGAATCGCCCTGAGTTTTTCTCAAACCTTGCCTTAAATAATCCAAGAATTCCCTCAAGGAAGGGGGTGTGTGTAAAAAGTCACACCCTTCACAGTGGTTCAAAAGATGCCTGAAGTTATATATTTATTGTGTTGATTATATCTATTTCTGAGAGAATGAGACCATTGTACCAATCGCACTGAGACATTTCAAATGATATCAAACATGATAGTTAAAGTCAGTTTGGTTAATCTAAAACATTCAAACATTGAAATGACCATATGCGTGAGTTGGGGGGATGAAGCTGAGTCTCAGCATAGTCAGATGCAAATGCAGCAGGAACTGGTTTTTCACGCATTCCCCCCTGGTGGGTTGTGGAGTCCATTGGCCCTGTCTTCAGCTCATGATTTGAATTGTCAAAGATATCAGAATATTTGTAATATTTCAATTCTTACATTACTTTCACTAAGCATGGCTATAAAGCAGAAAGGAGGGATAAAGAGTCAGGGAGGTAGGACAGGTCTAAAGGTCTAAGACAAAAGATAATTTGGTAACACTTTACAATAACTACACACTATAAACCATTTATTATGCATTAGCAAATACTGAATTCATTATTTGTTTAGCATTATCTGTTTAGCATTAACTCTAAATTAATAAGTGTTATTAAACAGTTTTTAACTGCAGCTACATATGCTGTATTCCAGACTTACAACATTTATAATTTGCTTAATAATTATACTTTCATACTTTGTTAAGGATTAATTTCCTATTACTAAATTAAGTATGGGGAGTTAAGCGCAATGTTTATGATAAGTGGGGGCGGAGCGGGCCAGAATCTTGGTGGCAGCAGGTCAGATGACTGTCAGACCAAGGGGAAATGTCCCTATGTCTCCCTATGGCCAGTTCGCCCTTGAGTTTTACTGTTTTCTATTGTTTATTATTCTTGGTCATTTCTCCAATAATTGTAAGTTTTAAAACAATACCATATGAGATCAGGTCACTGCTATGATATGATTGACAATTTATGTATGTCACTGTTTGTCATTGTGCTCTGTTTATTCTGAGAGCTGAGGCTGAGTATTCGAGAGCTTTTAACTCTTGAAATTATTAACCCTGGGTCATTCTAACACTGAAGAAACAGAATCCTGTGTTATCTGTAATCTCGTTCGACACTGCTCATGCTATACCTGATGTTCATTAATAGACGTTTCACAATCACAAGCCCCAGGTTAACATTGTAATTTGTATATTTATGTTGTCAATGTCCCTGACTGGATGAACTGCAGGTCATCTTTTTAGATGGCATTTCTGCATCTTGTCGGGTTAATAATATCTGCAAATTAGGAGAAATACTAGCCTTTTAGAAAGAAGCTATTATTATACCAATACCTAAACCAGGAAAAGATCATTTAAATAATTATCGTCCAACAGCACTTACCAGTTGCCTTTGCAAAACAATGGAACAAATGATTAATGATTAATGATCGATTGGTGTGGATTTAAAAAAAAACAGAAGATTAATTAATATCAGTGTGGGTTTAGAAGAGGGAAAAGTTCTCTTTGCCATCTTATACGATTAGAATCTTTTGTACGAGATGGTTTTATTAAAAAAGAACACATACAAGCAGTTTTTTTTTAATCCGGAAAAGGCCTTTGACACTACCAGGAGGTATGGTATTTTAAAAGATTTTCATGAGATGGGTGTTTGAGGAAATTTGCCTAATTTTATTGCAAATTTTTTTTATTCAATAGAGTTTTTCGTGTGCGTATGAAAACTATATTATCTGAATATGTGAGCATATATAGCATATATGAGAATCAGGAGTGCCCCAAGAAAGTATACTATCAGTAACACTATTTAGTATTAAAATTAATAATATTGTAAATGTTAATGGGAATAATATATTTCGTAGTTTATATGTAGATGATTTATGTATTTGTTATAAAGGGAAAAATATGTATACAATCAAGAGACAAATTTAAATATGTATAAATAAAATATATGACTGGTCAGTTTTAAATGGTTTTAATTTTTCTAAGTCAAAAACTGTATGCATGCATTTTTGTTTTTTAAGATCTATGCATTTAGATCAGGAGCTTTTTTAGATAGAGAAACTATACAAGTTGTGAAAAAGGTAAAGTTCCTAGGAATGAGTTTTGACAATAAGAAGTGTTTTATTCCTCATATTAAAGTATTATGAAATAGATGTTTTAAAACAATCAATGTATGAACTTAATCTTAGAAAGGTAAAATAAATAAATAAATTAGGACCTCTGTAATGAAATCCAAGACTTTGTATAAATGTGTACACGTTAATGGACCAAACACAATATGATCTGATTTATTTTACATTTAAACAATTTATTTTTACATTTTATCAATTTGCATCAAAATGTGTAGCCAATGTTTCCTGTGTCTTCTCACTTTTCAGCTTTTGATGAGAGTTTTTAAGACTTAATGAAAACTGTTTTATTTACTTATTTTAGACTTAATTGAAGTGAATGAGGGGAGTAAAGAGGAGGAACATCATGTCAAAATTGAGGAAAAAACCTATTTACAGACTGATGGTATTTTGAAAAGGAGAGACAAGAACCGTTTCATCTGCACTCAGTGTGGAAAGAGTTTTGGAAGAAAAGACAATCTTAAGATTCACATGAAAATACACACTGGAGAGAAACCGTTCACATGCACTCAGTGTGGGAAGAGTTTCAGCCAATCATCAAACCTTAATGACCACATGATGATCCACACTGGAGAGAAACCATTCACATGCACTCAGTGTGGGAAGAGTTTCAGGAAGTCATCATCCCTTACTCTACACATGATGATCCACACTGGAGAAAAACCATTCACATGCACTCAGTGTGGGAAGAGTTACAGCCAATCATCACACCTTAATCAACACATGATGATCCACACTGGAGAGAAACCATTCACATGCACTCAGTGTGGGAAAAGTTTTAACCGCTCATCAGGCCTTTATCAACATATGAGGATTCACACTGGAGAGAAACCATTCACATGCACTCAGTGTGGAAAAAGTTTTAACCGCTCATTAAACCTTTATAAACACATGAGGAACCACACTGGAGAGAAACCATTCTCATGTGTTCAGTGTGGGAAGAGTTTTAACTTCTCATCAACCCTTTATCAACACATGACAATCCACACTGGAGAGAAACCATTCACATGCACTCAGTGTGGGAAGTGTTTCAACTTTTCATCAAACCTTAATCGACACATTAGGATCCACAGTGGAGAGAAACCATTCACATGCACTCAGTGTGGGAAGAGTTTCAGCCAATCATCACACCTTAATCAACACATCATGAGCCACACTGGAGAGAAACCATTCATGTCTAATCATCTTGTTTAATCCCGCCCCTTTTCGCAGTGGCGTACAACAGAATTTCGCATACTCAATAGTGATGGGAAGTTCGGATCATTTTATTTACTGATCGAGATGAACAAATCTTTTTTCGAGTCATTTCGTTAATTTGGTTCAATTTGCCAAAATATTATTAAAATGTTACGAATTGCTTCCAAACACATCTACAACTAGCCCAGAAGGTTGATTACACGACAAATGAGTCATAAATAAATTATAAGAAGAAGAAAATAACAATTCAATGTTTACCTGCTCTTTTGTCTATAGGCATTGTTGTCTGTTTGCTCAGCTCACCTCTTCATGTCTTCAAATGTCAGTGGTGCGTTCACGTTACAATGACAGTCACATATAATCTTAACCAATGTACACAGTCTGAGCCGATAGGAGCCATGATAATTAGGGTGCTTTCACACCTACACTTTTGTTTCGGAACGTATCTCGTTTGCCCAGTTAGCGCGGTTCGATTGGCATATGTGAACAGGGCAATCGCACTCTGTTCCGCGCCAAAGTAATCGCTCCGAGATCGCTTGAATGAGGTGGTCTCGGCTCGATTGAAACAAACCCTGGAGCGGATCGATTGCAGTGAGAAAGCGATCCGATCCGAGCGCGGTTATATCACAGTGTTTTATGGATATGTAATAGGCATACGGCTATATGAAGAGAGAATTATGAGAAGGTCGGGAAGTTTCGCGAGTCTCCGGATGCCCGCAAACGAGTGATGATCTCCCGGTAATCTCGTGTCTCTCTCCCAGTCCTCAAATAGGCATCGTCGCGCACCCTTCTCACCCCTCCCCACCGCGTCTCTCCTCAGACACGTCACGCGCGCACCCTGTCAATCACCACCAAACCAACACCTCTCCTGACAGCTGAGCGGGACGCTGCAAAATAAACCCTGACACTCTGACCAATGTAAGGAGAGTTTACTCGCACGTGACTTGTTTTAGCTCTTTTGGTCCGATTAGAAACTTTGCAGTGTGAAAGCAAACCGCTCCAAGAGCAAAGAGCAACAATGTAACAATTTTAATCTCTGTTTCGGAACAACTGAATCGATTCACAGGTGTGAAAGCACCCTTAGTTCACCTTTCGAGTCTTCTGGTTGTTGAGTCGTTCGTTCATCACGTGACAGAATAACTCAAACCCGAGGACTCGAGAGGTGAACAGATCAATTCTTTTTCTGGCTCTAAATGCATATGATTGGCATATAAATGCATATGTTTGGCTGTAGTCTTTCATGTGGTGAACGAACGACTCGATAGAGGACTCGAAAAATTAACTGATCTTGTCTCGCACTATTCAATTCAATTCAGCTTTATTTGTATAGCGCTTTTACAATGTAGATCATGTCAAAGCAGCTTCACATCGTGCACATGAGCGAATTAATGAATCTTTTAGTTAATCCGAGTCATTCATTCATTTTGTCACATAACATGAAAGAAAGCATAAGAAATGAATTATTTAATAAATCAAATAGTCTTTGTGAATAGTTTTCTAACATATGATGCTGCCAGTATTACACACTTAAACACTGTTTAATTGTTGTTTATTGTTTTATTATTATTATTTTACCAGAAAAGCTTTCATAACAAATCAGATTACTTTATAAATCACAACAATAAAATAAGCAAAAGAAAAACAAAATAGTGTACATCAAGCTAGGCTTTATAATAAATAAAAACAAGTAAGCTTTAAATTAAATAACACGTTTGTGCCATAAAATCTTTATATGAAATATGGCAACTCTTTCCAGTAGATGTTTTTTTGAAACAGCAATTTAAGTGAAAGATATTATAAATAAAAAACAAAAGCCACAGGGCCTAATGAGCTTAACAACTTGACTTGAGAATAGAACAGTCCATTTTTTAAAAAATTAAAATTAAATAAGCTTTAAAACAACATTGTGTGGCTTTACTTGTTGGACTTGGCTTAAGGTTTGTTAGCATTCAAAAACACAAGCACTAAACCTTTAATAGGCTGAGTCTGTCTCTTCTTGTGTCATTAGTTGTTGTCGCAGGATAAAAGCTGCTAAATGAGTAAATGCAAATGCAATCTTTCTTTATACAAATATTAGACCAACACATAAAGTCTGCATAGAAAAACATTAGTAAACAAAAATGGGGTATAAATGAACAAATTACAAATCACTTGTAATTGTAGAATTTAATTAATTTATTGCCTAGCTTAGTGTTTGTTTTCTGATAGCAAGCCAGCAAATAGACAAATCTATATATATATATATATATATATATATATATATATATATATATATATATATATATATATATATATATATATATATATACTAGATATAAACCACATATCCAGTAGAAAAAAAGTAACAATAACTTAGTGACAATAGGACAGAACTTTTTTATTTGTTAGAAAATGCTTTTTAGGTACACATTGTTTGATGATTTTATGAAAAGTTTAAAATATGATCATATAATGCAACAAAAAATCAGTTTTACATAAATATTATTGACTGAGGTTCTCGTTGCAGTGTACAGGGGAACTACAGTTTAAGATTAGATATGCACATAATAATGTAAGGATGGCTATATCTCTCCATAATATTAAAATCTGCAAACTGTTATGGAACTCCACACGAGACAAGACCATGAGAATGTTCAGGCACTAAAACAATAAACTTTCTAATTTGAGAAGAAGATCAGCTAGAAAACCAGTTGTTCAGGTTGTCTCGATCATGCATCCTGAGCCCCCCTCTTTGCCCTGGACTTTACCTTCTCCACCAGAGCAGCTCACTCACATTCCACACAGAATGTTTAAGTTCTTAATATGGTGTATCTTGTGGCTTTATATTCATGTTTGGTGTGTTTTTAAATGTCTCTGTGTGATTGGTAAAGTAATTTCACTGTAATATTTTACAATCTCCTTTATATCAGTTAATTTGGGTTTTGACTTTGAAAAGATCTTTGCCAGATGCTCCACTCCAGGCAAAATGGTCTTCGCATCAACTCATGGCCAGGCAAGAGTCTTGGTGAAGCTTTTATTGTCTTGAATTTATAATGATTTGAGTATTTAGGCAAAGGGTGCAGAATTGTCCGTGGGATCCTGTAAACAGGATACTCCATTGCAGGTTGTGAGTCTCTGAGCTCTGCATCAGGATTTATATGCTGCAATGTATTTCTTCATGGTCAGGTATTCCTCTTTAACTCTTAAATGTATCTTTGAGTAATTGATGTTGTACAATCTTGATTGGCTTATTTTGTTTAATTATGTGAACTGCAATGGAAAATCTTTTTTCTGACAATTAAATGTAAAATTCTTGTTTAACTTTAATATCTCCTGAAATTATTTAAATCGAGTAGATTGTTAAGGCTGATGTTTCCGCAGCCTACAACCAGGATTAGTCATACAATCAGACTCAATGGATAAAGCATAGGCACAGCATTAGAGACTTGTTGATTTCTGACAATCACTGATGATATAATCTAGGGGTATGATATAATCTAGGGGCTAAATCAAACTTTCTATAAGTATGAGCAAGCATGGGGCGGCCTATTGTTAATTAAAGGAAATTAGCTTATCTGCTAAGAATCGGAACTGGAGAAGATGTGTCCGTGAGCAGATGAAACTGGCCAGCATACTGACTCTAAGTGACTTTGAGTAAACGATGAACCATTAATTGGGAACAAGGATTTATTAGGTTAATCAATCTAAATTAGACCTAATCACGACCTATAAGGTAATCAGCTTGAATTAGATGAATCTAAATCTAAAATTATTATAAATTGGAGTCAGATTAAAATTCAGAGCTAGAAACAAATTAAAATAAATTATAACAAACAAAAATATTTATTTTCACATGTGCTAAAAGGTTTACACGCATTCACCCATGCTGTTAGTTCAGTCATGGGACTAATAGATGGACCCTCACATGTGTGTGTATTTATATACACTGTTAGACCTTACCGGGCTTTTTTACAGTAAAATATTGGCAACACTGTTGCCAGCTACTCACTGTAAAAGTTTGGTTATAGTAAATAACTGGCAACAGTGTTGCCAGTTAATTACTGTAACTGAACCATTTCAGTGAGTAGCTGGCAACAGTGTTGCCAGTTAATTACTGTAATAGAGCAGTAGTGGTAACTAACTGGAAACTGTGTACAGTTAATTAATGTACTGTAGTGTTACATCTCACAGCATTATATTGCATACAAATTAATAGGATGTCATATATAGTTATTGTAGTGTTACTAAAATTAATCAGTATTCTTAACTGTTATTAAAAATAGAAGGCATAATAAATTTTTAAGACAAATGTATTTTATAGTTTTAGCAGCAAACAAATATACAATATAAAATGTCAAACAAAATTAAGAATTCAGCAGATATGAATATTGTCTTACATATTACTGAGAGCCACAAGTCTGCACAGTAAGGCTGTGGTCACACTAACGTTTGAGCATGCAAAATTCTGTCATATGGCACTGCGAAAAGGAGTGGGATTAAACAAAATGATTAGAGCTTGAAAAAGCGAGCGACTGGTCCATAGTTTAAATTTCTGTCCAGAGAGGTCATGTTTTGATTTTTGATTGGTCTCAAGCAGTCACATGATGTGATTTCGCAGGTCAGAGATCTCCAAGCTTGAACTTTCCAATGCTGCGAATTATGAAATTTGTCGCATGAGCTATCATTCCAGGTCTGCAGTATTCACATGCGTATGAATGGAAGTCTATAGGGAGAAAAGTGCAGTGTGACTGGGACTTTAAGCTGTAACTCTAATTAAACACACCTGATCAAACTAATTAAGGCTTGTTAGAAATCTACAGGTAATGTTGAAGCAGGGGTGGGTACCAAACTGCAGTTCTTCAGGAATTTGGAGTTTGACCCCCATGGTATATTCAGTAGCATACTTTTATAGCAACTGCCAACATTTATCACAATCACAT